GCGTCAAGCCCTCTATAGACTGCAATGCAACATACGGCAAAGGTGAGTCAAATCTATAAACAACGCCAAGAAGGGGCACCTAAATAGTAGGAGCCCAACATACCTCAGGCATAAGTTCGCAGTCCTGGTCGAGGTGGACAGTCTGGATCCAGTTGTAGTTCAATAGCTGTCTCTGGTTTCTGGACGTCCGCCAGGCCGCGAGAATATCGGGCGCGGATATGGGGAGCATCGGCCAGGAGAAGGGGTTGGCGTGCTCGCGGGCGGACTTCCAGGACTGGAAGAACGTCAGGCTTCCACTCTTGAGTGCTGAAACCGGAGGATGGGAAGAGGAAGAAGTTCAAGTCAGGGGATCACGACGGATGAGGAAGGCCAGGATGGATGGAAGCCTACCTTGTCGTTCCGCATCCCCCTGGGCCTTGCTCCGAACCGCAGATACAAACGCAGCAAACGACGCCCCTTGAGGGCCCGCATTGATAGAATGCAATACCTACACACAAGAAGCACCCGTCAATGTTAAGCTCCTTCAAAACCAAAATCGCAACATGCAACATGTAAGAGGTACATGTTAATCGGAAAACATACGCGCCTCGTCGTACAGCTGCAGAGCCGTGCTCAACGACCCACCCGCAGCCCTCACATCTGCGACTCTGACTTGGAAGAACGGGACAGGAAACTTGGGGAGGAAGTAATCTTCCCATGATAGCGCTAATTGGCGGACGCATCGCTCGACATCGGGGGGTGCTGAGGCCTTGAGGAGTCTGTTGATGTTATCTGCCAGGGCGAGCGCATCTTCTTCTGGCATTCCGTCAGGGAGGGCCTTGATAGGGCAACATTAGGAAGGAAATTTATGGATGAAGATCATAACGAAAGAGCGAATAGATGGGTATCATGATCGTCGTGTGTCCGATTCTAGGCGAAAAAGACACGGTCTACGTACGACTAATTCGGGAACTGAGCTGTAGTCCCACCCCATGATGTGGATGGGGGCTAGTTGAGGGCAATGGAATGGGACATGGAAAGCAGAAGCCATGGCCACCATCGTGGAGCTGGTGTATGCCAAGTAGAGGTAACGACCGCAGTTGTCAGTGAAGAACGCAAAGATACACGATCGTTGTACCTATGTTTTCTGGACGAGGCCTTGAAAGTGAGGGAAGCTTGAACAGAGACGGAGACAGACGTAGTGAGGGTGCCAAAGATGGAGCCCGCGGTATTATAGTTCATACCCACCGCCCACATTTGTTCAGATCACGAGCCCCATTTTATGGTGGGGCCTGGGCGCAAGCACTGCGACTGTGTCTGGGTCCATGCATGATTCAAGCGCTCATGTCTGTTCGGGGCCTAGAAAGGTTCGTGTGTATTTACCGAAAGGAAGCGGACTCGCAAGGCTGCTGGCAGAGCCCGAATATGAACCTGTTCACTTGACAGACGGGACACATCTGGGGGACATGCAGCTGCCAGCCCACCGTATCGCCAATATCCAGCGCCAATCGAATTTCAAAGTAACACGTACCAGGGCACACATGTACAGAGATCTACATTTACATCTACACCGCGAGCTGCTTCACAGCTTGAATGAACGCATCCACTTTAGATGCATCCTTGCTCTTTCCGTCCTCGGTCTCGACGCCTCCACTCACGTCTACAGCCCACGGACGGACCTTGTCCACGGCTTCCTTGACGTTCAAGGGCGTGAGTCCCCCAGCAAGGATGATAGGCATGGCTTGCGTCGACGAAGACGACGAAATGATGTCATTCCCATTCCCATCCCCATTTCCAATCGGCCTCACACCCGCACCGGGCTCCCCAGCCACAACCACCTCCCTCGCCAAATCCCAATCCACCACCCTCCCGCTCCCCCCACTCAACCCATCACTCGCTCTCTGCGAATCCAGCAAAACAAACTGATGCAACCCCGGCCTTGCTATATCCCTCACCCCGCCCCCTTCCGTTTTGGCGTTGACGTGGAAGGCTCGGATGACTGGTACCGGGATGTACTTGGACCATTCAAGGGGCTCGGCGCCGTGCAACTGGACAAGGTCTAGTTGCGCTGCAGTGGTTGCTTCGAGGATGTCAGAGAGGTTTTGGTTTTGGAAGACCCCTACAAGGAGGGGACGGTGGGCTGTGAGCGTGTTCGAGAGACGACGTGCATGCGTGGAGAACCACGTATCGTTCACGGCCCCGATTCCCGTCCCAGGTGATGGCGATACTGAGTCGCCAGGACTGGGGTCGGAACTCCCTGCCAAAGGAGCTGTAGATCGCAACGATCGTATCGACGAGGAAATGTCGCATGCTGTGTCTAGCGATATGAAGCGTTTGCTGCCAGGGACGAACATGAGGCCCAACATATCAGCTCCTGACTGTGCAGCTGCCTTTGCTTCTTCGACAGTGCGTATCCCACAAATCTTGACGAGTGGTGGCGAGGCGGCGTGTGTATGATCAGGGTGTTCTGGAAGAGCCCAGTCTAGAAGTTCGTGAATGAATGCCTTGGTATCTTGTGCACGCATGAGGGCTTCGCCGACGAGCACGGCTGCTACGCCTTGTGCAGCATATTGACGGACATCATCAGGCGATGAGATCCCGCTCAATGCACACAACACGACGTCGTGCGAGTGCACCATGTCCACGAGTCGACTCGTTGTACCCATATCCACCTGGAAATCATGCAAATTCCGGTTATTGACCCCTATCACTTTAGCCCCGAGTTCGAGGGCTAGGCCCATCTCCGCTGCATTGTTGACTTCGACCAAGGGTTCCATACCCAGTGAGAGTGAGTAGACGTAAAGTTGGCGCAATCTGTCAGAAGGAAGCATGGCGACGATGAGAAGTACCGTGTCTGCACCATGCAGACGTGCTTCCGCGATTTGATATTCATCGAGTATGAAATCTTTGCGCAAGATCGCAGGGCGATTGGGGAGGTGGTCGATTGCCTGACGGGCGAGACGCAGGTCAAGAAGTGACCCTTTGAACCACGTTGGCTCTGTGAGCACCGAGATCACAGACGCCCCTGACAACGCATACGTCAGCGCTTGTTGTGCTGCGTTTGCGTCCAGGGCGATGTTGCCTTTGGAAGGACTCGCGCGTTTAATCTCCGCCATGAGCGCTGGTTTTTTTGCCTTGAGCCTCGGCACGAGCGGGACGAGGGGTGGCGCGAGGTGGAGAGAAAGCAGGGTTTCGAGGTCTCCCAGTGCTGTACCTGGCATGCCTTTGGCGTGCTGAACATCCTTGATGCGTTGGGCATAAATCTTTTGGAGGATCGTTGGGGCTTTGGATTTGAGCGCCTCCGCAGTCGCGCTACCCTCTTCTACTCTGCCCTTGAGAGCCTCGTAGGGAAAGGGAGGGAGCGACGTCTCGAGCACGAGCGCGTCCGGGTTCTCCTTCCACGTCCCGCCCACGAACTTGAGGAAGTTCCCCATGAGGGTGTCCCCCCCTTCTGAGAGGATACTCTCGGGGTGATACTGGACAGCCTCCACTACGAACTCGCGGTGCCGAACGCCCATGATCACCCCGCTCTCCTCCGTTGCACAGGTGACCATGAGCTCTTTCGGGAGGGTCTTGACGGAGGCACTGAGGGAGTGGTAGCGCGTCGACAAGATGCCTTGTGGGACATCCTTAAAGCATCCGCGTCCGTCGTGCCTTATGGGGCTGAGTTTTCCGTGTTTGATCTCGCCGGCATAGCTGCGTTGGGGACGATGCGTAAGCGACGCCGAATAAAGGCTCCCTCGAAGGTCGGATATATTCTAAAACATAGACGTACCCAATGGTACCCCCGTAGACGTCCACGATACATTCCAGACCCATGCACACGCCGAGAACAGGCACTTTTCCCGCGAAATGTCGAATCGCATCGCGGGATATGCCAGAGTCTGTCGTAGGATGGCCAGGACCGGGGGATATGATCAGACACTTGATGTTGAGCTCGGGGAGGGCAGATGCAGGGAGGGCATCGTTTCGGATGACCGTGACATCTGCACCGAGAAGACAGAGCTGCTGGTACAGGTTCCACGTGAAGGAGTCGAAGTTATCGATGAGGAGACAGTCGATAGGCTTTGTGAGGGCTTCTGGGAGGGCCATTGTGCCAGATATTTTTGGGGAGTCTGGGCTGGATCACGCGATGCCTGTGATATGTGACTCGTATGAGGCTGAGAAGATGTAGATGACGATGATACCTGTAGAAACTTCGAATCGAGATGGTCAGACAACGTGCCAACAATGTGCTACATCACGGGTTGAGCTGGCCGACTCGAACTGAGCTGATGTAATGTTCGCCGAAAATCAAGGTAAGACCACAAGCTTGGTGAATTTCTGGAGGTTTCTTGCCTTGCTGATATCATACGGCACATGCAGGACCATTAATCGGGCTGCAGTACTTGATGCAAATCGCCATGTAACTGGTGCACAATCAGTCCCGATGTTTTATTGATCATGCAATGCATTGCCAGTCACCAGCATCTTTCGATCTGGCACACTGATCTATGACATCCCCTATGGCGCTAACAGATAGATTGGTAGCGTGGCCGAGTGGGTCTAAGGCGTTGGATTTAAGTCATTTGAATCCCAATGGGCGCAAGTCCGCGTGAGTTCGAACCTCACCGCTACCAACACCTCTTTTTTGACCTACTTCCCAAATATTAATGGCGATTTGGGAGGCAACTTCAACTTCAGCAGCACTAATATTGTTTGGTTGGCAAGGTCAACGTTTACGAGCCATCGTGTAACACCAATCAAAGGTTGTGATCCCGTTCGCCATGGCCCCAGTCGTTCCAGCCTTGCTCAGCAAAATTATGGCAGATCATTCAAATCATTGGCCCCGAGCGGTGATTTGACTAGAACCTGGCACCATAGCTTGATCTCGTTGACGTCATGAGCGCGTCT